ATTGGTGTTACATTTCAATTAAATAAATATTTTTTTTGTATACGTTTCTGTATGTAATATATAATATTTCTATGTTATGCTACCATGGTGTATGTTAATCTATTGAGTAATGCCTCTTATTGCTATAAAATGGAATGTTTCATTACTAAAAAGGGTAGATCAGGCTGTGTAACCAATGAATATATAAAGTTATATTGTGTTTTTTAGAATAGGTTACGTCATTCAGAATGTCACATTTATAGTGACTGAATAAAAAACCTTTCAAATGTAAGAAACATTATTTGCCCAAAACATAGTCATTGTCAGTAAAAAGCAATGACAAAAGCCTAATGTAAATCTTATTCTTTATTGATTAAAAAAAAACTTTTTAAATGACAAATGTATTACCATTATCTATGTATTTAGCATATTTGTCTTACAGGCCAGTATCACAAACAGACCTTATGCCAGACTTTGTAAGATTAGTCAAGATTTAAATAGTAGTAGAGTCCTAAACAACTAACTCCCCTTGTCTTTGAGAAGAAAACAGATACTACAATTTGATTAATAGCAGATGTAGACAAAAAAAAAAAAACATCATACTCCATTCCCATGGCATTATTTTTGTCATTTCTTATGGTCATTAGGATCTATTCAGAAATATCTTTCAAATTATTTTCACGCTGACAACAAAATCGGATTTTATTTGATTTTCTCTTTTTTTATTTTTATTGTTCAATGAAATGAAAAATAACAGAAAAGTAAAACTTGACACCAGGTTGATTGTCAATCTATCTATCTATCTATCTATCTATCTATCTATCTATCTATCTATCTAAATCTGTTTCTGTCTTTCTTAGTCTGTTTCTTTCTTTTATAGCATTCTGACTATATCTATCTCTATTTCATTTTGTCTGTCTAGCTATCTATTTCAGTCTTTTTATATCTATCTATTTATCTGTCTCATTCTGTTCATATTTATAATTTATCTAGCTTGCTGGTCAAGGACAAATGTGAATTTCAAAGACAATATTAGATAGATAGATAGATAGATAGATAGATAGATAGATAGATAGATAGATAGATAGATAGATAGATAGATAGATATTCAGACACAGATAAAGAATTTGAAAGAAAGGAAAATGTAAGGGTTATACAAGGTTTTTGACACTGATTTCATTGATGATTACAAAATCTAAAATTTGTTATCAATAAATTCTTATTTAATCAAATGCAGCATTACTTTTGGAGCAAGCAAACAACTAATTTTATAACCAAACAAAATCCTATCATTCAAAAGAACCTTTGTATAATGATCTGAAAATACTGTAACTTTGTAAAATGATTTCGTTTTAACTTTTAGTTTTACAATAGAAAACTTTTGAACTCAATGGCTATTTCACAGAGAACGGTTATTATTATTATTTTCTTAGGTGTTTTTGTCTGGCATTTTCTCAATTTAATTCTCTTAAATGCAAAATGGAAGCAACCTGTCAGTCAGAATAGGCGTCTAAATGTCACATATTGTCGTCAGGCACGTGAATGGAGATCCGATTGAAAAGCAGAGTATAACGGTATCTCTTGTTTATCAACTGCTAGATAGAAATTGATAAAATTCGTCGATTGAGTTTTGGTTTAAGCCAGTCAAAGGGAAATAACTTCTTGGAACAGAAAAGCTGTTTGAAAATTTAAAACCCTTTGTCTTAATGTTATTAGGTTTACTGAAATCAGTGATGATTGGTGGCAGTCAGGACGGGGCGGGAACTGTTCAAGGGCAGTAACTTTTCCTCTACTCTAGAATTTTAAACTTCTTTCAAATATTCCTCCTTTTCTCTTTTCTTTTTTAACTGTTTTATTTTGATTAAATTAATTAGTTAAATTTGTCATCTTTTTTTTTTTTTTGTTTAAGGCGAGAAGGATAATTTTATAATTGCCCCCACGGTCCAAACACAGACATTTTCTTTTGTTGCAACTGCTTGTAAATGTAAATGCATTCAACATTGAAACTCTCAATTTTAATGCCTTCAGGTTTCAATTCAAGGGAAACAACTAAATGTATTATTTTAGTAAACTTTTTTATTTTTTTATTTAAATAAACAAAATTAACAAAGTCATATATTATTATTTTCAATTTATCTATTAATGATCAAGACATTTTTTAGTTAAGTTTTCATGATTTAAATTCATAATCAAAACATTTTTCTCATATTTCATTCAATACACACAAGACGTATTTCTTTCTTTATTTTATTATTGACGTCAACCAGTCACGAAAGAAAATGTTTAAAAATGCTGTTATTTTAAAAATTAGTCTATTAGTCCAGTCAAAAAAGCCTATTTGAGTGATTTTACAACCGCATTGTACTTACAAAATATCAAAAACTTTTCTTGCATTTTCTTGTTTTATGTTCTATACTTTCTGAATATCAAATTCACTATTGAATAATTAATTATGGACTTTTTTTTTATTTATCAATAAGTTTACCCATACCATCAAAACATGCATTGTACTTATAAAATATCAAAAACATAGTATTCCTCCGTATTTTGTTTTATGCTCAATACGTTTTGAATATCTACTAAACTATAATAAAAGTAAAATTAAGATAACAATTGATCCTCTGCCTTGTCCCCATGGAATATAATCTGAATCGCATAAACTTAAATAACCTGAATTTGCTTTGAACAATTTTGTCAAATTTTAAACGATTAATTTAGATATCAAAACAAAGCTTGAGTTAAATTTTTAGGTAGCTTTAACATGTTTTATTAAAGTTGATATGTATTTTCTTGTTTATGTTCAATAATTCCTGAATGTTAAACTAGACTAGTAACATTCTGATCACCATTGAATAATTATGGACTTTATTTATCAAACATAATTTAATGTGAAATAAAGTTATATTTTATTTCTAGTATCTCACTAGAAAAAGTTAATTATATAGAAATGAGTGACCTTTTCACCAGAAGTGTCCTTGATGTTCTAGTCATGTACAAAACCTTTCAATACAAAAATCATACTGACACACACATACACACATAGATAGGTGATGTCTGTAACTTGATTTTCAGTAAAATCTTCAGGTGATTCATCCTCTATGAGCAGCACAGATGTTGTTTTTAGTCCTGCTAGGGACTTACACTCTGTTATACAGATGTGGCAATGATGGGCACCTCTTGCAATAGTTGTTACAGTAATATTTTGGTGAACTATCATATGATGCTTTTGTCCACCAACTGGGGCACATTCTTTTCCACACAAAGTAGAAATCCTGTATAATGTGTAATGAATAACTGAATGTGGGTTCTTTGGTGATTTTTGAGGCCTGTCTTACTTAGATTGATACAACTTCTTTTATTACACATTATTAGATCAAATACATACATACATAAATACATACATACATGGTTGTCAACTTGTTAAACAATCGCTGATAATTTTGATTTACATTTTTAGTTATTATGAGAATGGCAATGGTTCTTTAAGTGATCTGCATAGCTTATTGCTGATGTGACAAACTAATTTGTTCTGTACAGAGCCTGGCTTGTTTTGTAAACATTGTTCAGCTTGTGGGTTTTCATATAACAGGTGAGACCAGAGTAGTTTTTCCAGGCTTTCTAACACACCCCACATGTTAAGTTAAAATGCATACATAGATAGTGGAAGTCAGCTTGTGACCAAGTAAGATCACCTCTAAGACTCATAATTCCCAAACGAACATACATACATACATCCATATATGATGGTTGCCACCTCAATGTTGAATAAGAACCCTACAAGACATTATTGTGATACTCAGTTGTGCCTTCAACAGGGGATGGTTCTTTAAAAACAGACAATCTTTTGAAATCTATGCTTCTTTTTTTTTTTCTTTTTTTTTTATATATCCATAAACTGTGCCATGATTTTTATTGGGTGAGAAGGATAGTGAAGTTGTTTCCTGTTGCTTTTGCCACAGTTTTTAATTCACAGTTCTCCTTGATTTGTTGCTCCGTCAAGGCTAAAAGATAAAGTTTGCACTACTATTTTACCCATAGCTGGTGGAAGAAGATTCATTCCCTTGTTTTCAAACAGTCTATCAACCCTTTACAGGTTATTTAAAGCCAGAAAAATGTTTTAGATTATAAGATTTGTTTTTTGAGATAATAATGGTTTAGTGATACAAGTCTTACTAATTAACCCATAGCTGGAGGGAGAAGAGATGGGTTCATACCATCCAATGGTATTTTGCACAGAAGTGAATACAACAAATACAACGGGAATTGGTACTTGACTCTCTGATTAAGAATTCTGAGCTGTTATCCAGTACACCAACTGCACATTCAAGCTTACAGCACCTGCTATTCCTGTGCAGTCACCCATCTTGGTACTGACCAGGATCTATGTTGCTTAACTTTTGTCATTGTACAGGAACTTATTCTTTTTCTAATGACATTAGCATGAAGTCAGTGCAACAGACTTGGCCTTGCCTATAACTATTATCCCCCACCCACACATAATCTGATTATTTTCTTACAAAATATATAACTTAAAAACTATGAAAGTAAATGAACCACCAAAATATGCTACAGACCTGACTTAAAGAAACATTTTTTGTTGGTATTTTTGAGTTGAAAAATTACTGTAAATTATTGACTGATTTACTCAAACAATTGTCCTGATGTTAATTGTCATAGTTACAACTACAACACCAAAAGAAGTCCAGAAGATACAATTGTTGGAATATTGCAGTTAGAACAACAAAAATGAGGACACTAGTCCAACTAAAGTAGTTTAGTGCTGCTACTTTGTAGAATAAATTCTTTATGTTCTTGTAACAACCTCATTCAGTAACCCTCTAGCCTGAGTGCCTCTTAGGCCTTGTGTTGCATGAATAGTATTATATAAAAACAAAACTACCAACCTACTTAGCTACCACAACCGCACATCATAGTTAATCAAGAACCATAATTTTTTCCATGCTACATACAGTTTTGAATTCAGGGTTTTCCTTTAATTACACTGGGGGCTTAAGACCAAATCATGTTGAACACTGATTCCCATACAATCACCAAAGTTAAGCAATGTTGAGCCTGGTCACTAGTTAGATGGGTAACTGCTTGGGAATACCAGGTGCTGTAAGCTTGGATGTGCAGGTGGTGTAATGGGTAATATCAGAATTGTTAATCGGAGAGCTGCATTCCAATTCCTGTCGGGGTTCATTATATTCACTGACATGCAAATACTCTTGTGAAAGGTTATATCCGCCTCTCATCCCCCCCAGTTATGGGTTAATTAGTAAAACTTGTATCAATAAATCATTATGTCAAAAAAAATTATTCTTACAACCTAAAACATTTTCTGGCTTTAAATAACCCACAAAGGGTTGATAAATCATAAAAAATAAATGAATCAATGCAATTCTCTTGCAGTGGTTCCCAACCTAGAGAGCCCAGTTTACCCTGCTATTTACTCATTAATTAGTGGGTGGGGAAGAATTCATTTCCTAAGAATATTTGTGTGAAATTGAATGTAGTGAACTTATCTGGAATTTGAACTTGACTTGTTGATTTTTCATTTCAGGCCACTAACTATGACACTACCTGCACACCCACAAAAAAAAATTATAATAATAATAATAATAATAATAATAATAATAATAATAATAAAATTAATAGAGAATAAATGGCTCTCTATGCCTAATCCAGATAAATATAATTCATAAGCCAGTCAGGGATAGTTTACTTTTCACTTTCAGTCTTTATAGAAACAAAAAGGACACTTATACTTAGAATCATAAAGACACAGTTGAAATTTCTAGGACCCAATGAGAAAAGAAGGCTTGGAAAATTTGAGATCCACAGGGCATATTGGAGGCAAGAGGGACAGAGAGAAATAGCAAGTAATCTGTCTAACCAGCTTAATGTATGGTAAAACAGAGTCTGGCAGAGACGGTTAATTTAATAAGAAGACAAAAATTGCTAAGAGCTACGAAAGATAGGAAGTTGTGGAGAGCCATGATCGCCCACAAACTTAAGCGACACGGCATATAGGAGATGAAAATGCATATAAGCAGTTTTAAATAAAGTTATGTCGCTTGTTACAACTTGTTAGTGAAAGAAGCTTCATTACTGACAAGCTTTATTTGATTTTTTGTCATTAGAAAAGCAATCAGCATTTAATTTTAACAGTGATTTACTTAGCACAGCTTAGATGTGGCACAAGGCCTGAAGTATAGAGCATCTGGTGAGGACTGATCTCACTATTTCTGATTAAGCTAGTTAGCTAGACCAGCTTTATAAACGATTACACTACAAATGCCATTTAGTAGTATAATAATTGCATAATTGTATTCATTCATTGATATTGAGTTTTTAAACAAGACTGAAGCATTTCATTTTTATAGGATTTCTATTTAAAAAACAAAAATAAAGTTAAAAGATTTAAAATGTTTTTAAATTCATTATGATTTTCTGTTGATTTAATTAAAATTAACGCTAAAAAATGTTTCTTTTTGAGTTTTTTTAAGAGTGAGTACATTAACTAGGGTTTATCATCTTAATTTGAGAGCAGATACACGGTATTTTTGTTAGATATGAATAGTTAATAATATGTACTTATGAAACGTTAGTGATTTGCGTGGTGTGTGTGTGTGTGTGTGTGCGCGCTTTCACTTACTAAATAGGGGCTGTTATTACTTTTATTCTCTATATACTAATGGTGTTGCAAATTGCTTCTCTCTAGTTCCTGCTATTTACCTCTTCTACCCCTCCCCTTTCTTTCTCTTTATCACTCTCTCCGCACCACCGCCCTCCCAGCCCCCCTTTGAATAAGTATAAAATTCTCGTGATGTTGTATTGATCTGCTTACTTAGCACTACTGGATACTCATCCTAACCTACCTTTAAGCACACACACACACATACATACACAAACACATACACATAATATATATATATATATATATATATATATATATATATATATATATATATATATATATATATATATATATATATATTCATTTACAACAGTGGGACAGCCAGTGTATGGTGCTCTGTCCTTCAACAACAACAGCAGCAGCAGCAACATCCAGATTGTCTATCTGAGGCCACCCCATCGTTCTCCCACCCCACACTTTCTCCTCAATGCTTCGACGCCACTATCACCGCCCACTCCTCTCTCTCTCTCTCTTTTATTTCACCCACCCCCTTCATGTCGTCCGATTCTTTTGCCTCTTTCGCCAATCTTTTTACTTCCTCTTCCCACTTGGAGCATTTCCCCTCTTTTTACTGTTTCTCTTCCTCATCATGCCGTCCCTCGCCTTTTTCTCGCCTTCCCTACTTCATTCACCTTCCTTCCCCCCTCCCACCATCACATTTGCCAACCTTTCCTTTTTCTCGTCTTCACCCCCTCCTCCTCCTTTCACAGTCCTTTTTACACAGGAAAGCGTTGCTGATGGAATCATATTTGTATAGAATAGTTAGAGCAGGGCATGCTAACTCAATTTGGTATTGTTGTAGATCTGCCTGTTGGCCGTCAGCCATGAGAGTTTGATTGTTATCTCCCTACTGAATTTCTTCATGTTCTCTGAAGCAGTCATACTCAAATATCTTAGCTAATGATTGCTGCCTTAGTTCTACTCTGCAAGTTCCTTTGAGCCAAACCTATTAATTTTCTTCTTCGTTCTCTTTTGCTTCCTTCTCTTCTGTCTTTGACGCCACCACTGCCACGGCCACTGCTGCTGCTGCTGCTGCTGCAATTCTTCATTATTTATTCTTTGTACTACTTTCATTTTCGTTCTGCTGTTCGTCTTGTTTTTGCTACTTTGGAATGTCAAAAGAAAGAAAGAAAAAAAAAAAAAAGACAACTAACACATGCACGTGCGCACACGCCCAAGAAAAGAGTAGAGTGCAAAGATGGAGGTATTAAATATTTTGTGTTGATTTGTTCAATATTTTTCTTTCCATCTTCCACCGGATTTTTTTTTCCTTTTTTTTTTTTTTTTTTTTTTTTTTTTTTTTCAAAAGCATTCAAAATTGAAATATTAACTAAACACGTCCAACTAAATAAGGGACAATAATAAAATTTAACAGTAGTAAATAAAAATTTATCTTTATAAAAAAAAATATTTCCTTTATTTTTCATTGATTTTAGTTTTCAAACATTGCTAATGACAAAACAACTGACTTCATTCTAAAGGTCTCAAATGTTATTGTTAACAAAGCTTCTCTTAATACAAGGCCAAATGGAATTAAATGTAGAGGGGAAGATCGTGTTGCGCCATTCTTCCAAGTGTAAAGATGCTACCTGCCATAAAAATCTGCATTCAAACTAGTGACTTTTTAACATTAACCATAATCATCTTTTTTACCAAGCAAACTGTAAACATTTACTAAAATCTTCTTATTCAAGGATATGACCAAATATGAAGTTTACCTGAGCCATTCTTTTGGGAGACCGTGAGACTTTTCTGTCTGCCTACCTTGAAAATCAGCATTAACTTTTTACCTGGTCTTGAACAATGAATACTAACCAGCCACAAGGCTGTAAGATCCTCAATCAATATATGAACAAGTCTTCCTGAAACCTGTTCTTTTATAGTTCTTTCTCCTTACTAAAATCTTTTCATTCTCTTCCAATCCCAGTAACCCCTTGTGTCTTAGCGTCATTATCACTTTGCTTGGGGTAAAATGATTAAAAAAAAAATGTATTTCTTTGTCTTTAAAGAAATTAATTTTCTACTCAGCATTTCTATAGGAAAGATATTCTTTTATAGCTTTAAAAATCATTTCATGCCATGCAAGGCAATAAAGCCACTAAGATTCTAGCAGGATACTGAGAATGAAAGAAACAGGAAGTGCAATAAGGGGAGGGGATTCAAGGGGAGAGAAGATGACGATTGTCATGGCATTTAAATTTTTGCAGATTGCAGTTGACAGAATAACAGGAAGTTGAAAGAGAGCTCCACATGAAAGAATGGTTGGAAAAGAAACTTTTAGATTAGAATTTACAATTATAACTGGTAATTTCAACAATGGAATTATGAGACCTAACTGCCAATTGTTTTATTAAACAAAATCTTCCAGGAAAAATGTTCTCATTTAAATATTTTCAGGTTGACATTGGTCAAAAGTGTGTAAAACATTTGTCATATTCTATACATATGAGTATGTATGTGCATGCATACAGACACACACCAACATACATACACACATATATATATATATATATATATATATTGCATATATTTTTTCATACATATTTATATGGCTGTGTAGGCACACATACACATTCCTGCATATATATATATATATATATATATATATATATATATATATATCTTTTAGGCATGTCTGAATAAATTACAAACATTATGCCTGCTTATTTTTATTTTATCATAATCTTTTCATATTCACAATATTTTTCCATATATTACAATTAAGTAAGGTAAGAAATACACAAATACACACACACACACACACACAAACATTTCCATAGGTATAGACAGACTCATACATACACACTTTTGCATACATAAATGTGCATGTATATGCATATACTTACATATCTGTGTATGTAAATACACATACCCACTTACACATAGAAATGTGTGTGTGTGGGGGGGATATATATATAACTTGCTATATATATATATATATATATATATATATATATATATATATATATATTTGAAAAAATGATAGGTATGTTGCATTTATGGATAAAAATGCCCAATATCATTGGTACAGTACATGTAAACATAAAAATTAAAATGTATATTGAGGTCAACACCAAGTTATTTCAGATGGTATGTTTTCATATATATATATATATATATATACAAGTATATAATTGGTATATACGGAATGAATTCCAATAACCAACAATTACTATTCTTAAAAGAGTGCTCAATACAAAGTAGAGCAGATATAATTATTATTTATAAAAAAATTATAACATAAGTATGTTATAAAATCACTACAAAAATAGCCATTTTGTTTCAACACACTCTGTGTCTTATCAAGTGATGATGTTGAAAATACACAGTGTGTTGAAACAAAATGGCTATTTTTGTAGTGATTTTATAAATACTTATGTTATAATTTTTTTATAAATGATAATATATATATATATATATATA